TTCCCCCGCCCTTTTTTCTCTCTCTCTCAATCCATCTATCTCTATCCCTCCATGTCTTACTCTCTTTCTCCCTCGCCTGTCACTGACCAGACTTTCTCTCTCTCTCTCTCTCTCTGCCCCATCCTCCTGTCCTCTTTCTCTCACTCTCTCTCTATCTAAATATCTCTCTCTCACGTACTCCCCCCCACACACACCTGATTTCACTTCGACATCATTGCCAACAACCCTCCTTTCCCACTTCAAAACTTTCATCTTTCCTCTCCGCGTCAAACCGCCCTCCTACCTTTTCACTTAACATTTACAAACTTCTGCAAATAGATCTCCCACCGCTGCCACTTAGACACCCACCTTTCGGGGCATTCCGCCCAAAAAGACGCACCTGTGTATTCACGCTTCCTAGCTCAATCTTCCCACCCACCACTGTCCTTCCGTCTCTTTATTTCATTTTTAAGTGTAGATGAATGTGTCTACATTTTCAAAATGTCTGTACGTATGATTTGTGTGTGTGTGTTTACGTGTGTGCGCGTTTATATGTGTCTGTACAAAGGAGAAAAAGAGATGCAGACACGTAGGAAGGGAGGGCTTTTATCTCTGACGTCTGTGCGTAATCGCGCGATTGTATGTGTCATGTAACGGTGTATTTGCATGTAAAAATAAACACGAATATTTTTTTTTGTTTTGTTTATAGTAGTTGATCATATTTCACTCACCATTATTATTATTATTATTATTATTATTATTATTATTAGATGTTTTCTTTTTTTACCGAAATTTTCAATATTTACTCCACCCCATTCAAGGTATTGGCATCAGATTTTACCCTAACCCATTCCATTAGTCTCTGCCCCAGCCCCTAACCGCCGAACACACGCAAACATACGCACTACCACAACTACCACGGGGAAGCCGAGTAACCGTCTGCCCGGTGTTGTTGGCCAGTTAAGGATGATTCCATAATTAGCCGACCCCTAGCATCACAAAAATCACACTGAACTCTGAAACCTCTAAAAAGACCTGCACATACTAAATTTCTTACTCGCTTACCAACCAGATGAATGCATGGGACGCTTCTATCTTGCATGGTATTTTATAAAACGAACATTTCATATCCACATCTTCTTCGACGACAGCACCTTCCTTAGCAGCGTCTACCAAGGCAAGAATTCACTCCGATATAAGAGTCCGCTAACCGCTACTGCAGTTTCTACCATCACCTCAAACTAAAAACGCGACATCTTCGGCAACCATTACCAGCTTCCGTGTAGTAATATCAAAACTACGATTACTACTACTACTAAAATTACTACTACTATCATTTGAGTGATTGATATTTTTCTTTGAATGAATGTGTGTTTGGCGTTGTCGCTACAGTCGCCTCGACCGTCATCTCCGCCAGTATCTGGCTTGTAACTAATTTCGCTGCTGTACTAGTAGTATTTATTGTAAACTAACATTCAAGAATATCGCTAAGATATATATATATATATACATATATATTGTTTTGTTTAAACACAGTTTATTGGTAAATACTCAGGATTACACCGTCACGCTGCTTATTTTTTTCGAAGATTCCTGCTTAGTCAAGTCGCTCACGCTGATCAACCGGTTGCTGTGTGTCCAGTCTGGAGGATGGTCAGCAATAACGGGCGTTATTATTACGCGAAATTAGCACTCCTGTTCCCGGATGGGGTAGCGACGAACTCAGAGACGTCTGCCGATACGGTGGCAGGCATCTTTAGCTACAACTGCTATGAAACTTATTGTCACTTCTACTCTGCTCCTAGATATGGATACCAATGTAGCTACTACTGCCGCTGCTGCTGCTGCAAGCCTTTGATGTAGCTAACAAAAAAAAATAACAAACAAAAAAAAACGATCAAAAGTAAAACAGAAAGAAAAAAATAAAGAAAAAAAATCTAAAAAAAAAAAAAAAAAGCAAACCTCCAAGTTAATGACAACATCAAATGGTGAAGATGTCGATTATGATGATGACGGCGAATACAACCACGACGATGACGACGACAAACGACCTCGGGACAAAAGTCAAGGCCCTGATCACTATAATGACAACAACCACGACGATGACACTAACTGAAATAGCCATTAGCATCGCTCTTGGTAAAGCCTCCACAACTACCACCATTTCTACTCAGATTATAAATTCTATGATAACAACGGTAATATCAACTATAACGACAGTAATAAGAAAACTGATAAAAATCCTGATGACAATGCTAACGATTTCAGTTAGTACAATGAAAATACTGATGAATAATATTCCAGTTGTCCTGAGCCCCTTTTCGGCAGTGGCAGTCTAACCGCCATACAGACTTAAATCCGTCTGCGTCCAAAAACCCTACTACTGTTTTGTGCTACCTACTTTTAGAAACAACTCCCTATACATAGAATAATATTTCCCTTATTTCTATATACCCCGAAGACACTTTTCCTAGATTTCCAAATACGTCCAATGTATAAGCTATCCAGCCTTAAAAATAGTTTTATTACTATATATATCCATATAAATTATATATGTAAACATACATATACGCACGTGCTTAAGCGAGCATGTGTTAGTGTAATCCCAAATATTTGTGAAGTTCTGTATTGCTGTTCACATTAACGACGGCAAAAAAAAAAAAAAAAAAAAAGACAAAAGACGCACTTATGCAGCCTTTTAACGTCACTCGTTCTAACACCCGTCCCCATCAATCCCAAACCCCAAAACTTCATTTCGGGGTTAAATGTCCTGTGCTACGTTTATACTTCGCGCCAATGTTTAGCTTAAACCCATACGTTTTCGATGATGGAGATATTACAATGCCAAAATTGAAAAACGAAAAAAAAATACGGACTAAACTTTAATCGAAACTTATATAATAAAGCAAGAGGAAAGAAAGAGAAGTGAATCCCAAATGTATTTTAAGATGAAAGAAATTCGATTAAAGCCATAAGAAAACATTGTGAAAGTGAAAGTGAAAGTGAAAGTAGAATTGTTTAAATGAAAGAGTGTGTAAAAAAAAAGAAAATGTATAATATAAACAATTGTTTCAATGTCAGATATTTCCCTTCATCTAGTCGAACTGATAAATAAAAGGTCCTTAGTCATTTCCACCTCTTAGCCGTTACTATAGCACTGATAATTCCTAGTGTCCCCAGCCTTGTTGTTGCTGCTGCTGTTGTTGTGGTAGTGGTGATTTCGGTCGCCCTTTTAGTGGCCTTAATCCCAACACTGATCCAAAGTGTGACACTGATTTGCCATCTTGGAAAAGGGAACCCCCACCACAACCACCACCACCACCACTACCAACACCGTCACCGCCGCCGCAACGTTCGTTTTCATCATCATCATCATCATCAACAACAACAACAACAAAACAACAACAGCAGCAACAACAACAACAACGACGACGACGACGACAATAACGACAACGAACAAGACAGACATATCCCCCACCCCGACTCTCCTAACAACACCACCCACAACAACAACTCTCATCTTCATCATCATAATCGACAACACCATCTTTATCATTATTATCATTACTCGCCTAATCAGCATTATGTAGTCGCAACAGGCAAAGGTCTGATTGCTGAAATTAAAGAGAAAAACAACGGTAAAAAAGCCTCTAGCAAGGGAGATAACCAACGTTCAGCCAAAAACCAGAGTGTTGACGGTATGTTTCCTTGGGCGGATAGCTCCAGTGGTTTAAGTGTTTTTGGATCCGACAGATATTCTGTGTGAGTTCTACAATCTTTTATTTCTGTTGAGACACAAGTTTAGAGCGGGTACCTTGTTAGTTTTTGTCCATTTATAATTTTTGCTACCTGTTGTTTGTTTATATAGTCATGGTTGACTGCGTGTTTGTTTTACAAGTTTTGTTATTTTCTACATTCTGTATGTGTTTATATTTGTTTCATGTTTCTTATGTCTGTCAAAGTCGATGAAACAGCCTATGTTGCATTTCGTATTCTTTGGAGTAGAAATCAATTTGGTACCGACCTCGTCAGAATGTAAACAGACGGACAAACAGAGAAAAGTAGACAGGAACAAAGTCATATAGATAGATACTCCTAAGTCTGGAATAGAAGGGTAGGTTAGAAAATTTGTTTTCAAAACTAAAAAAGGAGATCGGAATAAACGGATAGGTTTGAAAAACGTGGACAATAAAATAGACGGGGAATCTGTAATAACAGTGGATAGGTTGCGAAAAATCCAAATACAAATAGATAGAAAGGCTCTTCTATTCCGAACACGAATGTAGAAGACATAGATAGATAGATAGATAGATAGATAGATAGATAGATAGATAGATAGATAGATAGATAGATGGGGAAATAAACAAGAGAATGTGATGAAAATAGGTCAGAAATGAAAATACAAACATTGAAGAAAAAAAACAATAAATGAAGCCTTACTACAGAAAGAAAGAAAGAAAGAAAGAAAATGAGAAAACTTGAGAAACTTTTACTGCCAAAAGTAAGGTCAGCATGTTCTTTATGTTAAGGTGTCATTAAGGTTTTCACTGATCAAATTTGAGACATAGATAGATAGATAGATAGATAGATAGATAGATAGATAGATAGATAGATAAATAGATAGATAGATAGATACGAACAGACTGAGATAGATAGATAGAGAGATAGATAGATAGATAGATAGATACGAACAGACTGAGATAGATAGATAGATAGATAGATAGATAGATAGATAGATAGATAGATAGATAGATATGCCAACAAAACCAGGCTTACATATGTAATGTGTTTGACTTATGTTCAAATGTGTTAAAACAAAAAAAAATACTCACTTGGACGGCAACAAATCTCCTTACTATGAATTCTTGAAATTCAAGAATTTAATATCCAAAATGGAATTATTGGAAAAGGGAATAAAGTGAAAGGAATAAAATGAATCCATTTCGAGTGATTCCTATATAGTCGCACTTATTTGGTAAATAAAATACTGTGTATCTCTGTGTAAAACATGTGAAGATGAATAAATATGAATATACATTACGTGTAAATGTGTACTTTTAAACGCCAAAACAAATTTAAATTCTCACTGTTCCTCTTTACATCTATTTCAATACGCGCACAAACACTTACACACACATATACACACACGCACGCACGAACATATGTGTGTGTATAAGTATAACTACTATGAACACAGCCACAACATGCTGGCTGTTTTTCAGAAATAAAAAATCCCATCTCTCTCTCTCATCTATCATCTATCTATCTATCTATCTATCTATCTATCTATCTATCTATCACAGTTTATTATCTATCTAAATATCTACCTCAGTTTTTATCTATCTATCTATCTATCTATCTATCTCGCTATATATATATCTACATATATATATACATATATACACACACACACACATATATATATATATATATATATATATATAGTTATAGATATAGATATGTATTATATATATATAATCTACATATTCAGTTTAAAATCCTTGATGATGACATATATATATATATATATATATATATATATATATATATATATATATATATATATATATATGCACACACAATTATATATATGTGTGTATCCATGTGCGCGTGTATTGTTTTACCGATGCCTTTCTGGTTTTTATCTATTTATCTACCTAACTAGCTATTAATATATCTACGTACATTGACCATGGACATGTGCGTAGCTTAGCGGATATCGGCACAGAAAAGCAGTATGGCGTATCATGTTTAAATTCCCGCCGAATACTCTTGAATGATTATAAATCAATGTCTCCCACCCGCGACAACTGGTCGGTGTTAAATAGCAGAGCAGGCTGGTATCTCTAGTTATGGTTGGCAACCAGTATAGGAAAAGAACAATTCCATTCCTGTGTGTATATAAGAATCCATATTATTATGCATTCCAGCATTTATCTATATAAAGACATTCGGTTATAATTTCTTTACCTTCATATTCATATATGCTCATTTGATCAGACTATATATATATATATATATATATATATATATATGTGTGTGTGTGTGTGCATATTATTTTATGTTCGATGAGTTGTAAGTATTCTAGCTGGAGAGAACTGAATGTAGTTAAAAGTGAGTAGAATAAGTAATGAAAACAAAAGAAAATTTGAATGAATGAAAACGCTGAGGTCGAGAAAGAAAGAAAGAAAGAAAGAAAGAAAAAAGAAAGAAAGAAAGAAAGAAAGAAACTGGGAATAGAAATAGAGAAAATAAAAGATTGGAAAAGTATAACGTTAAAAGAAAGAAAGAAAAAGAAAGAAAGAAAAAAGAAAGAAAAAGAAAGAAAGAAAGAAAAAAAGAAAGAAAGAAAGAAAAAAAGAAAGAAAAAGAAAGAAAGAAAATGGGAATTGTAGAAATAAAAAAGATAAAAGTTTCGAAAAGTATAAAGTTAGAAAGAAACAAACAAATAAACAAACAGACAAAGAAAGAAAGAAAGAAAGAAAGAAAGAAAGAAAGATAGAAAGAAAAAGAAAGAAAAAATTGGAATAGTAAAAACAGAAAAAATTAAAAGGTTTGTAATGTATAAAGTTGAAAAAACGGAGAAAGAAAGAAAATAGGTGAGTGTCAATTTTCGTGATCTTTCTCTAACCTAAGAACTTTTTTTTTCCATTCGTGTGGTAAACCCTTTAAAATGCATTAAAGGCAAATCATTCCTTATTCAGTTTTTCATTGAACTAATATGTACAAAAATGACCATTCGAAATTGAATAAAGAAAACCAACGACATTGGTACAGACAATCAAAATAATAAAAAATAAAATAAAACCTAAATCATTCTTTTCCAAGTTGTCGACTGGTTAAGATTATTATCACAAACTATGCAAAAAGAAACTTTAGTTCCTCAGAGAGACAAAGTCCTCATCTGCCAAAAGCTCACGTAAAATCCATAATAACTAAAACTGAACTGGTAGTAAAGATCATTGATAACAAGTAAAAGATCAATTCCAAGCTGTACTGATGTTTACACGTTCAAGATCCTTTTGAAGCTAACAAATTTCAAACTTACTTCCTCTAATTTACTTTATTTCAAAAATCAAACACATTTCCCGCCTCTCGCGACTCTTCCGCTACGCTCCTCATCCTCCATGTTTTTTTTTCTCCATATTCTGAAATGCACGGGCTATAAATAGACCAAGTAATTTAGATGTCGCGTCAGTCTCTTCATAACTCAACACGTGACTTGTGACGTCGCACGGCAAATGGGACAAAACTTATGCCCGCGTCCAAGGAGAAACTACCGAACTCTTACTAACTTTTCCTTCTTTCTCCTCCTCTTCCTTCTCCTCCTTTTCCTCCCCCGGTTACATTTTTGCTCTTTCTTTCTTTCTTTCTCTCTTTCCTTCTCTTCTTCCCTTCCCTACATCTTTTATCATCTCTCTCTTTCTCGTTTATCTTCCTCCTTCTTCTCCAACTCTTCCTTTTACCCTCTTCTTTTTTTTTCTTTTCTTTTTCTCCTCCATATCACTTCGATTTATTCACGTATTACCTCATTCAATCACTCTTTTCCCCTACGTCCACGCCCAGGGCTGGCATTTATAAACTCCCTGGCTTATCTGACGGATTTTAGAAGTAAGCAAAATGTATCGTCCGCAAACGGACGGTCGCGAGAGACAGAAAAAGGCCTGCATGACTGCTCCCGGGTTCGAACTTATGTTACCAATATGATTGTTGGAATGTTGAATCGTCCTGAACAGGAAAAATCGTGCCAGCCGTTCAGTCTACGCCCTGGGTAACAATATACACCGGTTTGGTGCTTGTAAATAATTCCAGGCACAGTTCACCCCCCACCACCCCCTTGCATTCACGCCACCCAAGTTTTGACGTATTACCTTTTCGATATAACACAATTTGGCCAAAGACGCGACAAGATACCTAGTGATTAATAGTTAGCCTTGCTCGGACTCAAATTTTGAGTGGCACTCAGCCTCCCACCCACACATTTGTTTCCAGACACACGCACACACATACACTCAACACACACACAAACACACACATGAATACAAAGACATATATATTCATATTCAACGGACTACCGATGCTGCCTATTAAGCACCCTCTGTACTTTCATAATAGTAACAGTATGTTTACACATACTTATCTAAAACTCTATACTCACACACACACACACACTAGCTCGAATGGTTGAACGGACACACTCACTGCACACACACAGGAAATCTACACACCTGACCACATACATAGTCAAAATCAGCAGGCGCATATACAGATATACGTAACACACACAACTTGCAAGTTAACCAGGGCCATTTCAGATACAAACACAGATTCATACAATTTCACACACTGAATTTGTTCACTGCCTTAGCCGAAAATACACACATATACATTACTATGTGTACACGCACCTATTTAGTGATGCACAAATGCACTCTTAAACTATATACAAACAATTTAAGTGTACGTAAATCTTTTTTAAATATTTCTACACAAGCAGCAACCGACATACATACATACCTATATAAGTTTTATTATTCTTAAAGACGAATAGAAAATACACACCTTCACCTCAAGACAGCAGTAATTTTACTTTTTTTAATTAGCAAAAAAAACTCACGTTTTATACAGAAATGTGTAGTGACGTTTTAAAATATACATAGGGATATAATAAAATTTATTAAAAAAAAAAAACAGACATAGAAATCCCCACTGCACACACAAGCAAACACATAGACGAACACGTTGCGGGTACTTTGCAAAAGGAATTGAGAACTTTGAATTTACCCGAACGATTCCAATAGAAAGATGAATTCAAAATCCAGCGACAAAATGGGAATCTCAGAAAATCTCCTACTGTAAATATCATTTGTATTTTTTCTCTCCCGGAAAATTTTCACCATTTTTTTTTGTAGCCTGAGCCTTCCCCCCTTTCAAACTTGTCATGAACTTTTGCCATATCAACTTTTTTGCAAACTGTTAGATTTTGGTTTTGCTGATCTGTCTTTACGCATCATTCCTGTATCTATCTATCTATCTATCTATCTATCTATCTGTCTCTATATATATAGATATATATATATAACTCTTTCGCTATCGACTGATTTCAGCCTGTTAATACCTATTTATCTGCCGATCTATCTACCCCATCTCAGTCTGTTTATATCCTTCTATTTATCTATCTATGTATCTCTCTCTCTCTCTCTCTCTCTCTCTATATATATATATATATATATATATATATATATATGTATGTATATATATGTGTGTTTGTGTGAACGTTGTGAGTAAATATTGACAGATGAAGTGTATTCCAGAAGAGAAAAATGAATAAAATGGGCAAGAGGAAATGCACGCATTGCCTTGATAAATTCCGTCAGAGAACGAAACACGTCGGCTAAGTATAATTTTTCCTCCTGTCTTTTATATTCATATATATATATATATATATATATATATATATATATATATATAAACACTTTTAGCATCTACCGATTTCAGCCTAGTTCATATCTATATCATATCTCTATCTCTTTTCATATACATATATATATATATATATACATACACACACACACACACATATATATATATATATATATATATATATATATATATTCATAAATATGCATGCTTTCGTGAGTGCGTGTTTGAATGCGGGAGTCGGTGGTTGAGATCGGTTCTTATATATATATATATATATATATATATATATATATATATATATATATATAACTGTCACGGGTCATTTGTCCAACCATATAAATTTGATGTAACATGATACTTCGGTTCATATATATATATATATATATATATATATATATATATATATATATATATATATATATATATATATTATATATTTGTGCATTGTGCAGAAAATCTTGTTTCGTAAAAGTTCCATTGTAGACGACGAATGTCAAGGCTCTGCGATGTGGCCTTTTCTTTTTTTTTCTGATCATAAAGTGTGTAAAAACGGTTCAAATGTTCCGTTAATCTGTTAAATATTATCGTGGAGTTATTCAGTTAAAAATCCTTCATAATGCCGAATAGATTAGCCGAAAGCGTTGGTGTATACAGAAAATGTTAACAGTTTTTCTACACATTTTATGCCCAGAAAAGAAAATAATTTTTCAATAAAAAAAATTGATTATGCTTAATAACAGTACCTTGTCAATAAGTATCTATATATATATGGTGGTACTCGTTTGTTTATATATATATATATATATATATATATATATATATATATATATATATATATATATATATATATATATATATATATATATATATTACTTTAGATCTTTATTAGCTTTTTTATATATATATATATATGCTTATTCTTAAATGCCAAGCCACATTTTTGTATCAATGTGTTTATTTATTTCATTCTGTTGCTCATTGCTACTTTATCTATACCGCTGGTATACATTGTTGAGCCAATCCAATACAATTATATACATCTATTTTCCTTAATTACACTCCCTCTTTTATTGACGTTCAAGGACATTCGCATATATATATATATATATATATATATATATATATATATATATATATCGTGTGCGTCCTTGTGGTGTTTATCTTGATGTAGTTTTAAATTTCCATTCTTATTAAAATCAATCTCTAAAACCCCTAGACCTTTTATGAACATGCCCACGGACATGAGGTGTACACATGTTATATGATTGCAATGTCCTGTAACCCTGTTCTTCTTCATAGTAGTCATTACCTGGGATGTAGGCGATCAAAAATTAATAAATAATTATTGTAACATATCACCAGGAAAAGAAACCTAACGGTTACAATTAATTTTCTTCTGAAGGCATGAGATAAATCTTATTTTGCATGCGAAATATATGCATACATTATTATCAATAATAATAATTTTCTTTAAAAAAATCATTAATTATGTTTTGTTTTTTTCAATGGCGTAAAGTTCGAAACTTTGAAATTGAAATCTTCAAAAAAAAAAGAATTTATAAAGAGATTATATCTATGTACTTATATATCCATACATCCTTGAATATAATTGACCAGGAATATTTTGTAATTATTTTATTTAGTTGTTCTTGTGACTTGCAATTTTTGTCCTCTTTTTAAAACTAAGTTTGTGGATAGAATGTTCATAAGTTTTATTTTCCTGACCACTTTCGACTGATACTTTATTCATTTCCAAGAATGGTAATTTTCCACGTAACAAATACTATTACTATATTTGTTTTATTTTTAGTATTATATTTTGTTAAAGTAGTAGATATCTCATTCTTAGTTGATTTAATGTATATTTTTCACTTATTTTTATGTGTATTTTGACACAGCCAAACCTCTTTGGCTCCGTTGGAAAAAATGTATTTAAGAATCGTCTGTTTCTAATGTTTTCAAACATTACTTACTATTTAAACTATATATATATATATATATATATATGTGTGTGTGTGTGTGTGTGTGTGTGTGTGTGTGTGTGTGTGTGTATGTATGTTTGTATGTATGTGTGTGTGCTTGTATTTGGTTGTTCATGCGTTTGAATAAAGACAAAAGTGTCTGAGAGAGATCAATATTTATTTAAATTGTACCCATGTACTTAAATATCTGTGTGTGTGTGTGCCTCTGAGTTTATTTCCTCCGCAAGCAATGTCCTTATACTTGCTGAATCAATCTGCGAGTCGGCTGAAAACGAGAGCGAAAGTGAAAGTAGACATAGGTGTATATGACCGAAAAAGCACGCAACTCTACGGGTTTCATTATGTGTAGGTCTGAGCATATATGAAGCTGCAAGCTTCTGTAGATGAGGGGAGGGATGAATGCATTACTCTTGGAATGACATTTCACGGGTGAAGGTTATGTTAGTTTCGTTGCTCGCCTCTACACCATCTTTTACCTTTCTCTGCCAATCCGACACAAACAAAGAAAGTTGACATATCTGTGCAGAAAACAAAATCAAATTCGACATCCTTGATAAAATTCTTAGTCATAATTTTAAATTTAAATTAAATGGAAATTTAAATTTGGCATTTAATGTCCTTTTAAATGTTCGCAGCATGATATTTTGCAGTATTACTTTTAATCGAAAACTAGATGTAACAAGAACAAAACCTGAATTAGTATGGTTTTATTTAGTCGTGCTTGTTACCGAATAAGAAGTTTCTTGAAAGACTCAATTCTTTTAATATCTTCTGATAATATTCGTCATTCTTTTTTCTTCTATTAATACAAAAAAATGTGTCTTTTATCCGTTAAACAATAATATTACCTTTACTTATAACATAGATTAAAATAGTACAAAATGGTATATGTAGACATAATTTGCTTGATAGACATCGATTAGTTTTTCTTGTTTCATTTGATATCATTCCTGTCCCATTAAACATGAAACAGTTATTACACTTTGATCTCTACGTCAACAAAATGCTGTAAACAATATTTTACTCTCTTTATTTCCCGGAATAGTAATATATATATATATATATATATATATATATATATATATATATATATATATATATATATATATATATATATATATATATATATATATCGGGAAAATTTGCAGTCTAGCGATTTCAAGTAGATTTTGATGACAACAAATATTATGTTTCAACTTTTCAAATAAGTCAGAAAAAATGAAAGAAGTATTTATATGCGTTTTCATTATTATGTTCTACATGTGTTTATAGGATGTATAATTGTATCCGTGAGTGAACATGAGGAGACAAATTGGAAAATTGTATTAGCGACGCCTTTCGCCGGTGAAGAGTGTATTCTCTTTGGCTTCGTCAGGTTAAAAAGAAAAAAAAAGACACAACTGTAACTGAGGAAAATGTCTTGGGATATCTGAGGATAGTTGGGTATCATAGATCAAATTAATTACTCTAGATCCTAACCTCTTCAATGTCCAGACATAGAAAGTGTCTGTCCAAATTTTTGTTTGTTTTATCTGTATTAAAGCCGTTTGGTCGTTAAAGGAAGCCAATGAGAGCACATGCTTCTCCGGCGAAAGGCATTGTTAATAAAATTTTCTATTTGTCTCATCATTTTCACACACACACACACACACACACACACACACACACACACACACACACACATATATATATATATATATATATATATATATATATATATATAAATTAAATAATTAAGAAATAGACAACCTTAAGTTTCTATGACTATAATTTATTTCCCAGAAAATATATTTTTCCTGGTTCATCATGTCATATCTCTAGTTACCTTTTGCTCTGGTTTTACATTGAGCTCTCTGAATCATATCCTCTTTGAATTATCCATACAGATTACCAAACCCCTTCATTACCTTATATATATATATATATATATATATATATATATATATATATATATATATATATATATATGCTTGATAAGCATGGAATAATAATAATACAACACAAAATGTAACATAAAACAAAATGTATTGAAACAAGGAAAAGGTACACAATATTTACAGTTAGTTTTGGTATATTCTTGGGAAGACTGTTCCTGTAGAATGGGTTGACTTAATCGCAGTCGGGCAGAGTCTCTCGATTGGATCTCTTCTTACTTCTTTTGTTCGTCTTCCCGGTACCAACCCATATTTATATGGTCGGTCCTCGACTATGTAAATTAGGTGGATCGTACCACTATAATATATATATATATATATATATATATATTGAGACATGTGCATATATCGTTGTATAGTTGGGGTAAAATTCTATATCCACTTACATGTGAAGATAGATAGATATGATCAAATGAAAAATAGCTAGCTAGATAGATAGATATAAACAAACTGTGATAGATAGATAGATAGATAGATAGATAGATAGATATTAAATTTACCAAATTCTGATACAGGAGGAATAAATATTCATTTTGCTCACGTCTCTTGTAACTGAAAACCACCTGAAGTTCAGTATTCGTAACTGCCAACCCCCAAATTTGATCCTTCATCAGCTACCTTCGTAGTTACGATTATTATTCACCCTTGCTAATACATTGGTACTAATTGATAATTACTTTTATAAAGTCCTCCATTCACAGAAAACTTTCATAGGACCACACGCACACATACACGTGTGTGTGTGTCTGTGTGATTGTCCGCTCTCGTCTTTATATTATATTAATTAAATAATGACTGTGTACTCTTCAAAGCTTTTTTCTTTTCATTCACAAATATTTTCATTGACCTTCCTGTCTTATCCAATCGACTTTTAATATTAAGACTTTAGTGTTATTCCCGATCGTTCGGCCAAACTAAATCCACATTTCTGGATGACCAAACTTTGATACAATTTAGTTATTGTATACTTTAATCATAGTAGGAACGTTGAAGTAATGGATAGCTGCTTGGATTAAGAAATCGGAGTTCCGAGTTCGAATTCTAGTCAGATCAATTACATTCACTTACGTGCTTATCTTGGGAAAGGTATGAATCCTCATCTTCTCTCCCCACCACCAATGGGTAAATAGCAGAACAGTTCTATAGCTTTGGATGGCAACTCGTCTACCACAGAAAGAAAAAAATCTGCTTCTGATGGCAACTGGTCTACTGCGGGAAAAAAATCTGCCTCGTCAGTCATGTATCGAAAGATACATTATCGCCTCAGCGTGTATCACGCATGGCGCATAACTGAACTGATACTTTAATCTTGATAGATAGATCTTCGATTTTTAATCACAAATCCAGACAATCGTATATGTAAACCTGGTTGGTGACCAATGAATGTTCTTTGTTCAAGATTTTTACTGAGATTTTCTACGTTACGGATTATTTAACGGGCACAATATACAAGAATACGCATTAAATTTAATCATTAATTGTCTAATGAGCACTTTCGGTTTCATAAATCATTATCAAATATTTTTCTGTTGAACTGAACTCCATTTGGTGCGTTTTCATTTTGAGAAAGTCTTTGAGAATTGCTTATGGAAGATGAACAGCTCAGAAAAATTGGCAAGCTTATTTTCAAATATTTCTGGAAAACCGACTGAATCATCTAAAAATTGAGTAACAGAATATCT